GCCGGTCTCTTCAGAGGACAGGAATCAGGACTCCCACAGACTGCCCCAGAGCACAGACAGAGTTCGGACTCCTGTCCTCTGAAGAGGCCGGCCACAGAGATTGGCGAAACATTAGGAAGAACAACCTTCAGAACACGGCCAAAGTGCCCAAAAAACCCACAACCACCATCAGATCCCGGCCGTGCAAGCCTTCGCGAATACAATAATAATAACAACGACAATAACAACAAGAGATGGGAATCCATTAAAAGCTCTCCTTGGGGAATTTTCCCCAATCAAATTGAAAAATTCTGAACTCCCTGTTTGCCCATCTCCCAAGGAGGACCCTTTTTCTAATTAAAGCCCCTTCAGAAGCATTTTTAAACTCCACACACGTTTTATTTGCGTTGTCTTTGCCGAACGTTGGCACATTTTCGTGGGCTCCTGCCTCAGAAACGCATCACCATGTCTGTTAGCTTCTGATGAGCTTCTGAGGAGGATCAGCGTTTATAGTTTGAATGGGATGATGGCTGGGGTCGGAGCATGATTCCATTTCCCCCCACAGATGCTGACCACAGTGAGGACTAATGGCCGGAGGGGCTCTCCACCATTATTTGGAGGCTGTTTTGACACCTGAATAAGACTTCGACCACTTTTGCATGGATTGTGGAGCACTGTAACGGTTTCTTTGGCTTCTAAAGTTTTTTTTGTTGCTCTGTGAGTGTATCTTTATTTTGCTTTCTGGTCCTGTGCTTGATTGTTCCGTTACCTTAACTTATTCGATGCAATATTGTGCGTCACTGCTCTTGTTATTTTTGATTTCTTAACTGTTACATAGGAATTGTCTGATGCACAGCCGTCACTAGAGATCCTTCTGGCTTTAAGGTTCGTTAGCGACATCGGAAAGGGGATTTGCTCAACTATGCAAATCTTCATCTAAAGCTGTTTTTTCTCTCTCTCCTTTAAACAGTGACTCTTTCAGCTCTGGACCATTGTCTATTCTGACCTTTGTTTTTCAATCTAATGGGGCCACCCTGATCCTGGATAGATCCTGTACGCATTTGCTAGATCTCTGCACTTGCTTTCACCCTAATTCCGAAACTCCCTGACCAGGGGCGGCACGCGGCCTCTGGGGCCAGCTCGCCTGCGGGCAGATCAGACAGAAGGCGATGCAAGAGCAGATGAGATCCAGAGAAAAGCAGCACAGAAAGCAGCTACGAGGTTTTTTTTAAAGATTGCCAGCCACCTTGTTGCCCACTCAAATTCTGAGAAATATTTCCCCCTCACCCAACTGCAACAACATGGAGCTGTCTTCACCTAGCGGCACGGTGGTGACAATCTCGCTGAAGGGCCCACTCCCCAGTTTGTTCTGCGCCAGGACGCTGAACTGGTAGCCGGTGTCTGACTGCAAGTTCTCCACCAGGACGTGCGAGGCACCGACAGGCACGGGAAGCGAGACCCAGTCGTGGTGAGGCCGATGGAGGTGCTTCAGCCTGTGGGAGACGCCGGGAGGAAAAAGGCCATGAATTTGAAAACGTCGATCATGTTCAGTTATTCTGTACCGTTTTAGCGCTATGCGCAAGAAACAAAATAATAAGAAACTCCAAATATATAGGTAAAGGTTCCCCTTGACATTTAGTCCGGTCGTGTCCGACTCTAGGGCACGGTGCTCATCTCCATCTCCAAGCCGTAGAGCCAGCGTTTGTCTGAAGCCTGTTTCCGTGGTCACGTGGCCAGCGCGACTAGACACAGAACGCCGTGACCTTCCCACCGAGGTGGCGCCTATTTATCTACTCACATTTTTATATGCTTTCAAACTGCTAGGTTGGCAGGAGCTGGGATTCCTGCCCATCTCGACTCCCTCGTCTATAAAGACATGGAGATCTCCAAAGTACAGGCGCTCTGTGGAGGGAACTCCGTTCCAGAGGACCCTCAGCAGGCCACAAGCAAGACCTCCACCATTTCCAGAGTCTTACAGGTGGGGCAGGCAAGACGTGTGTGCTTCCAAAAACAGAAGGCAGAAGAAAATCATCTAAACCAGTGGTTCCCCAAACCTTGGGTCCTCCAGATGTTCTTGGACTTCAACTGCCAGATACCTTGGCCAGCAGAGGTGGTAGTGAAAGCTTCTGGGAGTTTTAGTCCGAGAACATCTGGAAGCCCAAGGTTGGGGACCACTGACTAGATAATGTCCGGAAACAAGATCTGGCCCAAGGCCTCCCCATCCTACTACAGGAACAGAAGCAGATTTTATTGTCAGCTGAACCTTCCTGCAACACAGGCAAAGTTATATTAGATTTAGATTCCGCGTCCTTCCATCTCGAGCTCTGTATGGAGGACTTGGAACAGCGTCTAGTGTGGCTGAGAAGGCCTATTCAAGAGTGACCGTCCCTTCCACACAGAAGACAAATAAAATCTGTCCCTTGTCCAGTTCCCTGATTTTGCTGCTTTCATGACTGCCTCTTTGCCTCGGCCTGCTGGGTCTCTTCAAATTGGGAGAGGCCATGATGCACCGCCTGCCTCCAGGCTGAACGCTCAGAGGTCAGGGTTTCCCATCTGTTGAGGTCCATTCCTATAAGAGTGCAGCAGACTAGTTTAGGGAGCGAGAAGAGGATAAATGCAACACACAGGTTTCTCTCTCCCTGGCGTTAGCTGCCTAAATAAGTTGCATCACTTTGCTTAATAGAAGCTAAGCATCATTTTCTTAGAGAGAGAGAGAGAGAACATGGCACAGCATGCAAACATTTGAGGACTCACAGTGGTGTGTACCAGATGCTGAACCTCTGGAAGTAACCCCCATCAAAACCCGGTTCCCAGGTGACGTTCGCGGCCTGCTGGAGTGGCAGCACGGAGACATTAGCCACAGCATGAGGACTGGTGCCTAGAATACACAAGAGGAAGGGGAGGGGAAACTGCATCAGCATGACTTGATCTGAGATGAGAGAGCTGGAAGGGATTTTAAGGGCATCTAGACTTGCATAGCTAGCAGAGTTCTTCAAGTATATACTCAAGTATAAGCCTACTCGAATATAAGCCGAGGCACCCAATTTCACCACAAAAAACTGGGAAAACCCTATCCAGACCATCCTGGGAAGCCCCGTGGGATGAGCCCAATTAGACCAAGGATGAGACAAAACTCGGGCAAGAGAGTATGGGAATTCCAGATGGGCTGTCTTCCACCCTCCCTGAGAAGCTGCAGGTGTACCCACTCGATCGGGCATCCCACAGAGGTGGCATTGCAGAGACTTGAGTTCCACTCCTGTGCAATTAGAGGGGGATTCATTAGGGTTCAATTGAGAAAGGAAAAAGGTGCAACGTCCCTGAAGCAAGAAACAGAGCCTGTTGCTCATGTTGAACTGAGCAAGTTGTCAAAGAATAAAGGATTTTTGTTAGAAACTTTCTGGCATCCCCGAATCATCCCTCCATCAAGATTTGGATAAAGGAGAAAAGGGAATTACACCAGGTCACAGAGTTGCAGTGAAAAAACATGAAAGGTCTGACAGCTTTACGTATCTACAGGTATTTGGAAGTCAGAAAATGAAACATCTTAGCTACCCCGTCCTTAGAAGCAGAACTGGCTTGCCTCGTGGCATGAAGAAAGCATCTGTCTCACTTTGGAACAACACGAATACAGTCCCTCCGTAGCTGAAGGAAATGCATTCACGTTCCAAACCTCCGAGCCATCAGACCCTCTCCAACAAGCTGGCATGTTAGACCATCTCATGACAGAGCGTCCTCGGAGCTTGCCAGCGGCTAAGAGTAATGGGCTTTATCAATTCCTGCAGATATACAGAATAAAAAAAGTACCCACTGCAGCCGGCACAGGGCCTCCTTAAGAAAGCTGAAGCTTCTCAGTTTGTTTCTATAGTCTTTAGCTGATCTCATCGTTGGGATTCTAGTACAGTGGTGCCTCGCTTAACGACGATAATCCGTTCCAGGAAAATCGCCGTTAAGCAAAAACATCGTAAAACGAAATTAAAAACTCCATTGAAATGCATTGAAAAACCGTTGAGGGCGTTCCATGGGGTAAAAACTCACCGTCCAGCGAAGATCCTCCATACGGCGGCCATTTTCGCTGCCTGTATAGCGAGGAATCCGTTCCTAAACACAGCAGGGAGCCATTTTAAGCACCCGGCGGCCATTTTGAAAACCCGACGATCAGCTGTTTTGATCGTCATAAGGCGAAGAATCGGTACCCGAAGTAGGGAACCGATCTTCGCAAAGCGAAAAAAACCCATTTAGACCATCGTTTTGCAATCGCAATTGCGATTGCAAAAAGATAATCATACAGTGATTTTGTCGTAATACGGGGCAATCGTTAAGCGAGGCACCACTGTAATTTGCATCTTATGCCTTTGGGAGGTAGTGGCCGTTTCTTCCTTCTCTACCTCAGATTCCTTTTCCCACTTTTTTTCTTTCTTCCCATGTCAGCGAGAGTCTGCTTAGCAATGTCTGTGTTGTGTGTGTGCTCGTTTTTGTCAGTTATGGAGTCAGCAGTCAGAGCGCTACCCCTCAGCTAGTCAAAATAATGAAGTTCACCAGCTGCCATTTCAAACGAAATAACAAGCGAATATGTTTGTTTGCCTTCTGACAATATATGAAGCAAAGTAAAAGTGAGTAAAAGAGAAACATTTTTAAATTCTTTCTCAACACTGTGATTAAATCCATTGAGACTATTGCCAGTTGAGGTAAACCAAAACAAACAATACAGTAAGGGGTGGCATATCTGTTGGAGATTTGTAATTATAATAATCCGCGCCGTAAGTCCCTATTTGGATTTTTCTCTTCTGGACGTTTTAAGCCAACGGTTTCCGCACTCTGCCAATATTCTGAACAAGGTACCAACCCAATACGTAGACAGTGGTTATGGCGCTGACCCGGGCGACACCATTGTTAGCAGTACATTCCCATAGGCCGTGCTGTTCCTTGGTCAACGGGTGTAAAACCAGGCTATTGTTCCGGTCAACCTGGGCATTGGCCAGGCCTTTGCTGCTCATCTGCAGGACGGAAAAACAGAAAACAGAACCGTACAATTGGACTCTAACCCCTTGCTGAAGTCAGAAATTCCAATATGGACAGATGGCCACCCAGCCTATGTTGAGTGGAAACGTCCTTTCTTAGTATTTGAATCCACTGGTTTGGATCATACTCTCTGGCACCACACAAAACAAGCTTGTTCTAGCTGCCACATAGCAGCCCTTCATATACCGTATTTTTCAGTGTATAAGACTATACTTTTGTCTAAAATTTTTAGACTAAAAATTGAGGGTCGTCTTATACACGGAAGTAAGTGAGGAGAGAACAAAAACAAGTGGAGGGGAAAGCAGGGATCAAAGCAATCCTGCAGCACTTTGATCCCTTTCCCCCTGCACTTGCTAAGCCCCACTTATTTTTCTTAATTTTGGATTAGAAAAGTGGGTGTGGCGTCTTATACATGGGGGTGTCCTATACACGGAAAAATACAGTAGTGTGGGCTAGAGTTGTTGAACTAGGACCTGGAATATAGGACATGGTCCCGATCAACCCAGGTTAGCTCACTGAGTGACCTCAGGCCAATCCCACTCTTTCAGCTTGATCTACTTCATAAGGGCGTTGTGAAAAGAGTAAAGTATGCCACCTTGCGCTGACTGAGGAAAAGGAAGATATAAGTGGAACCACCTACCCACCCTCCAACCATCCAACCATCCAACCATCCAACCATCCAACCATCCATCCATCCATCCATCCATCCATCCATCCATCCATCCATCCATCCAACCAACCAACCAACCAACCAACCAACCAACCAACCAACCAACCAACCAACCAACCAACCAACCAACCAACCAACCAACCAACCAACCAACCAACCAACCAACCAACCAACCAACCAACCAACCAACCAACCAACCAACCAACCAACCAACCAACCAACCAACCAACCAACCAACCAACCAACCAACCAACCAACCAACCAACCAACCAACCAACCCCAACCAACCAACCAACCAACCAACCAACCAACCAACCAACCAACCAACCAAAAGAAACAAATACTGGGGGAACTCATACACACATCATATAACCTTCATCAAGCCCATTTACAACCTGCAAAGCCCTGGTTGAAGGAAAACCCAATAAGCCCCTGATCAAAGCAGGTGTAGGCAGTGGGGAGGACATGTATGGAGGTGGGGAGGGCCATCTGGACAGGTATTCTTCATGCTCTAACCTTCTTGGAGGAACCATAAAATGAAAACTTAAACCACGAAGAAACATTTAAAATGTTTGCTTAAGGAAGACCACCCCCTGTCTTCAAGCCACTGATATTTCTGGAAAGGCTACTTCGTTTATATTGGTCATCTACCAAAAAAAATTAAAAGCTGGGTCACCTTAGTCCAAGAAATAATGGGCGCAGGGTCACCTCGGGCAGCGCAAGGGATAAGCAGCTCCCGCCCGACCTCCTGGAAATATTCTTCCTTGGGGCGCAGAGTGAACATAGGCGGATCCTAGGGCATAAAGAGAAGATTATTTCGTTATTAGCCTGCCCTATCTGAAAGTTCATAGTGGGTGGCAGTAAATAATAGGGATCTAAATCTTGCTGGGATATAAATCTTCTCATGCACAACGGGAAAGTGCATCTTTCCCCTTAGCCTTCGAAGGAGTGCAATATTTTCTGCTCTTCTTCGAAAAAAGGTCTGTGCAAATAACTGCTCAAAATTATAATAGTTATCACCTTGTCACAGGGACTTATTGGCTGGATGTGTCATTTATGTTTTTCAATAATCAGCCAATGCTTCTGTGTTTGCTGCGTGCGCGGGGAGTCTGTGTGTGTTTACATGCTTTGGCTTATCGAAGAGAAAGAGCACCGGCTTTCTGCAAGAGATTCTGCATCAATCGCCCAGAGGTGCTGTCACGCTGGAGATCAGAAATACAGTGGTGCCTCGCTTAATGATTACCTCGTTAAACGACGAATCCGCTTTATGATGGGTTTTTTGCAATTCCTATTGCGATCGCAAAACAATGTTCCTGGGGAAAATTCACTTCACAACGATCAGTTCCCTGCTTCAGGAACCAATTCTTTACATTACGACAATCTAAAAACAGCTGTTCGTCAGGGTTCAAAATGGCTCCTCGCTGTGCAAAATGGATCCCCGCTGTGTTAAGGACGGATTCCTCGCTATACAGGCACCAGAAAATGGCCGCCCTATGGAGGATCTTCGCTGCATGATGCAAGTATTTCGCCCATTGGAACACACTGAACGGTTTTCAATGCATTTCAATGGGTTTTTAAATTTTGCTTGACGACGATTTCGCTTAACGGCGATTTTAACGGAACGCAAGTAAGTATACCTGGGTCGTCAAAAGGTTCACAACATTGCGGGGCCAATTCTTTGTCCAGCTCACTTGGGTTGTTGGAGAGAAGAAGAATCTACTCCATATTTTACACTCCTCCAGTTATGGATGTCGAGGTGCGACTCGGACTGGCACTCAAGATGCACAGATGTACATGAACATATACGGTTTCCACCGCTCACCTTCAAGAGGACTCGGGTGGGTGCTGAAGAACCAGCCGTGCCATAGATGTTATACGGGGTGCAAGCATAGATGCCGAGGGCATCGTCATTGCTGGTGGTGATCAGGATGGCACCGTCAGCCCTCATGGTCCAACCTGGAAACTACACGAGAAGGCGCAGGGAGTGCAAAACAACGTGTTCAGAACAGAATGGTTAAAAAAATGACAAGCGACGTAAGATCCTAGAATCATGGAGTGGGAAGGGGCCTCTAAAGGCCATCCAGTCCATCCTCAAGAATCCCAGTCAAAGCAGATCAGACAGAGGGTGGTCCCAATTTTCTCCCGACGGCCTCCAGGGTTGGAGGGCTCGACGCCTCCCGAGGTCAACGGGTTCCACTGTTCTACTTCTTGACTAGTTAAAAGCTTTTCTCCTGACATTCAGCCCAAATCTGGCTCCCCTATAGTTTGAGCCCATTATGAGGTGTCCTGCAGTCTAGGCGGATTGGGGGGAAAAAATCCTGTCCTCTGTATTTTTCAAACACTCCCTACAGAGGGTATAGCTGGGCATCCCAGGACGTACCTTGCCTAACTCCAAGGGTTCCCCATCCTTGGTCCAGTTGATGAAGAGCAGCGGTGGGTTGGCCTTATTGGGGCAGCTGATTATTCCTTGCATTCCTATTGGCAGGAGCGTCTCAGGGGGCATGTCGGTCGCTTGTGCTGGATCTGCAGAAGTGCGAGACAGGACTTCAGACAACAGGGGAGCAAAGATACAGGGGGGTGGAAAATAAAACTGGAGGGGGAAACAGTTTAAAGGGTAGCAGAATAACAGAATTTTTTTAAAAAACCCTGTAAGGTTGGAATACTCCTCCAGGGCTATCCAGTCCATATGACTACAGTGGTGCCTCGCTTTACGATTGCCCCGCATTACAACGAATCCACTTTACGACAATCTTTGTGATCACAAAACGATGGTCTAAATGGGGGAATTTCACTTTGCAAAACGATGTTTTTTAAACAGCTGATCGGCGGTTTCAAAATGGCTGCCGGGTAAATAAAATGGCTCCTCGCTGTGTCTAGGGACAGATTCCTTGCTATACAGGCAGTGAAAAGGGCCGCCGTATGGAGGATCTTCGCTGGACGGTGAGTTTTAAGCCCATTGGAACGCATTGAAAGGTTTTCAATGCGTTTCAAAGGGCTTTTTATTTTCGCTTTACGACGTTTTCGCTTAACGGCAATTTTGCTGGAACGGATTATCGCCGTTCAGCGAGGCACCACTGTAGTTATTTCTCATGAGTTATTTCCAAGTTCTGGGTTTATGTCCATCGTCCTCTAGTTCTTAAACCACAAGACGGAGGACCAGAGATGGCCGCCAACTGGAGATTTGTGCCGGTTTATCCTTTGGCCAAACAGATTCGCCACTTCTGAGCCCCTGCCTCCTCCAGCGGGCACCGACTCAAGAGTCAGCATCCTGGCTTCCTTGTCTCGCCTCACCTGGGTGCTCCCTCTGAGTGGGTGCCCACCTGTTCAGAAAAACAAAACCAGCGCGAACTGCTGGCTCCACCGTCCATGCCCAACTCTCTTGCAAACTAACATCTGAACAATGCTGGAAGATATGCTTCCAACGGAAGTTAATTTGAACATGCCCCACAAAGACGGAGGATCAGGAATTTTCTTTTTTTTTTTTCATGCTGCCTGTTTCTAGCGGAACTTCTCTTCCCCCTTATTTCGCTCCTACTGAGTGATCTGGATCGACAGGAGCGTGGAAACGCAATGCCTACACAGGACGGTAAGGAACGCCGAGGCAGACGGTGATCTCTTCAGCCCGTTGCTGGGGATGCAGGTGTAACGCCCCGAATCCTCTGCAGTCGTTTTCTGGATTAAGAGGCTTCCATCGACTAAGATTCGAATTCGAGACTGGAGGTGGCTGAAGGAGAGAAGGCAGAGGTTGAAGAGATCAGAGGACAAGAGGACGGATATTTTTTTTGCAAGTTGCCAAATATCTCTGGAATGAATTCCCCAGACTCTTTTGTTTATTTTATTTTTTTGCACCTCCGCCACGATCTGTTCTTACCTGAGGTGAAAAACATTCGTATTCCCCTGGAACCAGCTATAAGTGAGGTTGACCGGATAGGCCTCAGCTTGGCAGGTCAAAAAGGCATCTTGGGTGAGATTGACGGTGACGTTCCGTGGGGGCATCACAATGACCGGCGGCCCTAAGAGGAAGAGAAGAGAGGAAGCAGGTACTAAGGTGCGGAGCTGATCCTGGAACCAGATTTCGGCTAGAAAAATAGGACGTATTTGTAGATGGTTTTCTCTTTCTTTCTTAAAACAAGATCCAAAAGCAAGTGAGGAGAAAGGGGCTCTTTTTTTGAGACTCTGGAGGATTACTGGCAGTTAGAACAGGCAAACCTGGTCAAAAGGGATTTTGTATAAAGCAGAGATGGAAAACGTGGAGGGGTTTGTTTGTGGTTTTTTGGATCACAGCTTATCTATCTATCTATCTATCTATCTATCTATCTATCTATCTATCTATCTATCTATCTATCTATCTATCTATCTATCTATCTATCTATCTATCTATCTATCTATCTATCTATCTATCATCTATCTATCTATCATCTATCTATCTATCTATCTATCTATCTATCTACCTACAGTGGTGCCTCGCATAACAAGCGCACCGTTTAACAACGAATCCGCATAGCGATGCGGATTTTGCGATCGCAAAAGCGATCGCATTGCAACATTTTAATAGGCAAAACATCGCATTGTGATAATTGGTAAGCGTTTCGCTTACTAATCTTCGCATTGCGATGTTTTGGGAACAGCTGATCGGCGGTTCCAAAATGGCCACTGGATGAAGAAAATGGCCACCTGCAGCGTTTTTGCGCCCTGCCCTCGCTTACCAAGACGGTGAAAGTGGCAGCCGGATGGGGAATATTCGCTTACCGGTGAGTTTTCCCCCCAACTCTGTTTAATGCGTTCCTATGGGGTTTTCTGCCCCATATAGTGATGTTTCCGGATAGCGATGATATATCCGCATCAGATTATCGTCGCTATGCGGGGCACCACTGTATCTATCTATCTATCTATCTATCTATCTATCTATCTATCTATCTATCTATCTATCTATCTATCTATCTATCTATCTAGATTTATACCTCACCCATCTAGACCAAAAGTCTACTCCAATCCCGCAGCCAGCATGGCCACCGGTGGCTACACCATTTTGAGAATTGTAGCAAAAATCAATAAAGACACAAATAAATAAAACATTTCCCATCTTGGGCAGCTTTTGGTATATTCCCTCTAAGAGGGTGTCATACTAGAATGTACGTCTGGCAAGCGGAACGTTCACATCCAGCCTCTACCCAATCAAATATTTAAAGGGTCACGTGGGAAACGATGGGAAATACTTTTTTTCGGCTTCAGATCCTGGGGATACCACAGAACAGACAATGGCAAATGAGCCAAGACGATGATTTAATCTGGCATTCTGCAGCTTTTTATATTAAGTTGTGGATCAGTCTTTGAAAATATTGTGCCTTCTTCGGGTTACCTTGGACCAGCAGGCGGGTCGTATGGGTGACGGTGCCCTCCTTGCTCGTGGCTTGGCAAGTGTATGCCCCGGCACTGGCCCGCTCCACACTGGCAAAGACCAGAGACCCGTTCTTCACCTGGTGAAAAAAAACAGAACAGTTTAGGCAACGCTTCGACTCACAGATGCAGGATCTTATGCCATTAGCACGGCCCTATCCACACAGAAGATAGTAGGCATCAGCAGTGGGCAGGGGGGAAAAATCATACAAAAAATCCATAAATTTTAAATAGAAAATTATGAAACCTCCTACACTTGGGCTGGCAGGATCTGAGGCATTCGAGAACCCCTCTGCCTGACTTCTGTTAGCCCAGACAAACACTGGCAACCCCTGAATTTTGTCCCAGCACAAAACAATGACACTTTTCGGAAAAGGCTTCATGATCTATGGACCAGTGATCACTGCACACAAAAGATTAGCTAACAAAGCCCATCAACCACAGTGACAGACCATCTCCCCCCCCTTATCACAACAAGACACCCATTTAAAAAAAACACCCTGATCACCCTAATCACCCAATCTCCTGAAAAGGACAGAAAGCTGATCCCACAGCTACGAGTATTCACACACTACACCAGAACACAGACAGAATTCTGTCCTCTGAAGATGGTAGAAATGACAATTAAAAAGCAACAACACAATAGAAGAACTCTAGAGAAGGAGAGATTTGTAGTGAATACAAAGACCAGTTTTTGGAAGTAGAAGTGACAATTAAAAAGCAACAACACAATCTAAGAACTCTAGAAAAGGAGAGATCTGTAGTGAATACAAAGACCAGTTTTTGGAAAGGTTTTTAAGGCGGGGGGAGGGATTAAACAATGCAAGTTTCCCAAGAAACTAAGGATTTAAAGAAACCAATCAGAGTCATTTAAAAGGGCATAGAAATACTCAGAGTGCAAGGGAGCAAAAACCGTATGCTTCCAAAATTTATTTATTTACTTTATACGCCACTTTTCTCCTCATAAGGGAAGCCAAGGCTGCTCATAATATTAAAAAGAACAGAATTAAAAACCTAGCAAGTTAAACATGAAAAAAGCAACTAAACTATATGCTAATTAAAATATAAATGAAAACAGTGGTGCCTCGCTAGACAATGATAATCCATTCCATTTAAATCGCTGTTTAGCGAAATCATCGTCTAGCAAAAAACAATTCCCCATTGGAATGCATTGAAACCTGTTTAATGCGTTCCAATGGGGAAGAATCGTCGTTGTCTAGCGAAGATCGGCCATAGGAAAGCCGCTTTGCGAACCGTCGATCAGCTGTTTAAATCGCTGTCTTGCGAAGCTTAGGTCCCGAAAACACCTATTTTACGAGCGCGGAGGGAGCTGTCAAAATCATCGTCTAGCAAAAATCGGTTTGCGAAGCAGGGGCCAAATATTGTCCAGTGAAATTCCCCCATAGGAATCGCTGTTTTGCGAATTGCTATAGCGATGGCAAAAAGCCAATGTCTAGCGAAAAAACTGTCCTGCAGGGTCACTGTCTAGCGAGGCACCATTGTAATTAAAAGCAAGTAAGCGTTAACTTTAAAAAGGCATTCAGGGAGCCGATCATAATTGTTAAAACCCTGCCTGAAAAGATGGGTCTTCAGCTCTTGAGGGGAATACCACACCTGTACTTTGTCTCCACCTTCAATGGTCTGGTTGCCCCTCTGCCAGGTGACCACTGGCTGCGGGTTGCCAGCTGCCAAACAGGTGAGCGTGAGAGGCTTCTGGTTCTGCACTTCGAGGAACGCTGGCGGGACCTCTTGGAAAGTAGGGGGAGCTGAAAGACAAGATTTTAGGGGAAGAATGTCTGAAGCTGGCTTTGAATCCTCCCACACACTTTGTTTTCCTTTCTAGTTCCTCCAAGCCTGTTCTTGTCCCCCGCCCCTCGCCTTCCACCTCTCTTCTGGCTTCGCATCATTTTCAAAAATTATACAACCTAAGAAGAAGTAAACAGCCACACTGCACAAACACAATCAACCAGCGAGCGAAGGAGAAAAGGAAGAAAGTGTGGAAATGATCATTAGTGGCAATCCTAGTGTCCCAACCAGAAGATACAGAGATTAATATATATTTTTTTGGACTACAACTCCCAGAATCCCGAGTCAGCACTGGCCACCACTTTGCTTTTGGGGAACTCTGGGAGCTGAAGTCCAAAAAAAGAGAGGAACTTTTCCAAACGCCAGTCAAATTCTCCACTGTTGCTAAGTAGAGATGGACAAGGACAGCCGGTTTGGAAGTTCATGACGATCCCTTTATCAGCTGAAAAGATGTTTGGCATTTCCGACCCCTGCCTCCTACAGCAGGGACCCACTCAGAGGGAGTGCCCCAGCTTTCCTGACGTGCCTCCTTTGGGCACTGCCCTTCTTGGGCGCCTGCCAGAGGAGGCAGAGCTGAGAAGCACCGAAAACCTCTTCAGCCGATAAACGACTGATATTTAGTACGTTCTAGTGCTAAATATCAGACCAACCCCCTATTCCAGGATGGAATTCTCTGAAGCTACTGGGATGAGAAGCAAAACGTTTCCACCTAATAAGAAAGAAGTCCAGTCTGCCATGACTCAACGTCCAGATCACCTCACCTCTATGACTGAGAGTCTTCACAGATATATTTCCCTGGTATACTTATTTTGCATGCAGTTTTCCTGGTAGGTACATCCATTTTTGTACGTGGTTCTTCCTAATACCTGCATTTTTGTAAGCACTGTCCCATAACACCACCCCATTTCCTTTAATATACACATTTTAGGTAAAGGTAAAGGTTCCCCTTGACATTTAGTCCAGTCGTGTCCGACTTTAGGGCGCGGTGCTCATCCCCGTCTCCAAGCCGTAGAGCCAGCGTTTATCCATAGACCGTTTCCGTGGTCACGTGGCCAGCGCGACTAGAAACGGAACACCGTGACCCTCCCACCGTGGCGGTACCTATTTATCGACTCACATTTTTATATGCTTTCAAACTGCTAGGTTGGCAGTGAACACGGACATAACTTTCAATATTAACAATCATAACTAAAAAGACAACAATATTAAAAATGACTAAAACTTAATTTTGAAACGTTTTCTTTTTTTAAAAAAAAAGGTGAGTAAAAAGATGTGTGTATGAGGCAAGACATGCCATTAGAATGTAGGTATTAGTAAAATTTATGTGCAGAAAACTGTATAAACACTTCCAGTGTAAAAAAAAATTATCTGTGTTCAGGGTGGCTGAACGTAAGTGATAAAAACGGCAAACTGAAGCTGACAGATTTCCCCGCCGCTCCGTCCCAAATTCCCCACCAATGCCTGCCCCAATTTCCTCTTTCATTTCACCGTCTCAGTGGCTAGGGAGGATGATGGTCTGTTCAGAGAAACAGCAATTGCTTAGAAAGTGAAGCAAAGATGAATAAGCCGGATTATAGGTGGGGGAACCAGGGTCTAGAAGGAAGCGGAGCAGATGGGCCGGGAGATCAAGGTGATCCCACACCAGGAAGGGATTGACGCGTGGGCCGTGCACCAGATACTCCTGGCCTCCGACATATGGCAGATCCATTATTGCTGCCATGGCGGATCTCACCTCCTCTAATTTGTCTGATCATTCCCTTGGCACAGGGCTGGCCCCCATCAACAGCCAGACTGAGGCGACTGGCCGAGGCAGCAAATACCGAGAGGGGACGAGAGGACGAAGCCGGGGGTGCCCCAGAACCATTAACCCTCATCTACCTCCTGAGAAATCTATACGTGGGAGAGGAAGCAACAGTTAGAACAACCGATGGGTTCAAAATTGGGAAAGGAGTACGACAAGGCTGTATATTGTCCCCCTGCTTATTCAACTTATATGCAGAATACATCATGCGGAAGGCTGGACTGGAGGAATCCCAAACCGGAATTAAGAATGCCAGAAGAAATATCAACAACCTCCGATATGCAGATGATACCACTCTAATGGCAGAAAGTGAGGAGGAATTAAAGAACCTTGTAATGAGGTTGAAAGAGGA